GATAACATGATATGTGTTTATGATAACTGGTGAAAGAAAAATAATTTTGCTTTTGGTTTTAGCAGAATAGTCATTAAATGAACTAGTGAATATGCTTTCTAAGCTATCACAAAAGGAACTATGAAGTAGAATATCTACTTGATTTTATTTTAAATATTGATGATGTAAAGACATCTATAATGTTCCTTCCTGTCAGGCAAGAAGAATAAGCTATAAGAACATTCATTTCCATATTTATTACAAAGTAATAATTTAGGGGTAGTTACATCTCTTATGAATACCACTGGAGAGCTATTGAACTTTAAAAATTATCAGCCTTCTATAATAAATATTCAATTTCAATGTAATGATTCTGCTATAGCCTATCATTTTAGAAATTTAGTAAGTACAAAAGCCATAGCACAAGAAATGGTGATAAGAAGTGATGGAAAGGAATCAGTAACTACTGAAGTGAACATCCGTGTGGACCAAATTCTAGAACTTTTACCAGAGCTGATGAGTCTCAAGCGTAACTCTTCTTCAAAGTAGTAAGTCATTACAAAAATAGCACTATAAATTCTGTAAAACTTGATTTTGAAATTAATATAATATTTTATAACAATTAAAATAGTTAATTGAAGTAACACATGGATTAATCATTCACGTTAGGATTTGTACAAATAAACTAACAGATGAAGATCTGTGATTTTTTAATATCATAAAGTAAAAGCATGTATTTTCATGTTAATATATTTCAATCATTTATATTAATAATTGTGAAGTATATAAACAACCTTCAGTCACAATATTTCACTAAGAGTTATTTAATTAATTCACTTTTTAAACAAAAGAAATATATTCCACCATATGTTTACACATTTAAAAGAATATCTGACCTTATGGAAAATGTTACATAAACACATGTACTGTGATGCCATTGCAGTCAATCTGATAAACAAAACAGTCCCTAAGTGACTAATGAGTAAGTAACACATACAATATGGATATACATCCAAGGATGATTCATATCCAGAGTAGGACAGAAATCACAGCACAAGATTTCATCATACTACTCAGCATAGTAAGATCTTTCTTGTATCCAATATTTTTATTAAGATTTATTCATTTATTTGGAAGACAGAGTAACAGAGCACAATAGACAGAAAGAGGAAAGAGACCTTCCATCTGCTGGTTCACTCCCCAAATGATGACAATAGCCAGATCTGGGCCAGGATGAAGCCTTAAGCTAGAAAACTCCACCCAGATCTCAAATATGGGTGTCAGGCAGCACCCAAGTTCTTGGGCCAGTTTCCACTGCCTTCCCAGGCATTAACAGGGAGCTGCATGTGAAGTTTAACAGCCAGGACTCAAAGCTGTGCTCCTATATGAGATACCAGCACTGCAAGTGGTAGCTTAACCTACTGCATCACTAAACCAAAACCACATATGATCTTTTCAACTGTGCTATTTTTTCACAATTGCTTACAAGATATTCATAGTGAAAAATAATATTCCAAATACATCCAATATTTCATTAGCTAAAGAAACACTTTTGGTTTTAATTAACATTTAAAATGTGTTTATTTTAAAACTTATGTTGAAAGAATTATATCTTTTTTAAATCTTTGCTTCAAAAAATGTTAGAACCCACTGAGAAATGTTAGGGATTTCCCTAATTTAAGGTTTCTTGTATCTATAACCATGTAAGCATTTGCAATCTCCTTTCCTAACTAGTTATTTGAGTGACTCCATTTTGATTAGTATAGATTTATATTATAATAAGACAAAAAGGAACCTTGAGAGCTCATTTTCCTCTCCTCTCTCAGGCGGCATCATACTTAACTGTCCCTGACAAATATGTGCATCTATTCTGTGTTTAAAGCCATGCTGTAAAGGAAGTTCATATAAATTAATCACAAACATAGCTCTAGAGAATAGAGCTCAGAATGGTGCTTGTGATTTAACCAATCAAATTATTATTGATTCCCTCAGCAGCACTTCCATGGCTCCAACTGCCTCTTCCTTATAAATCAGTAGCACGTTAAAGACACAAAATTTTCATCTACTTATAAGGATGTAAGAGATGACTACTCACTAACATTGTGCTAATCAGACCAAGCAAGGAGTCAAAGCAATTGCATTATTAGGGAAAACAAATTGGCAGTAAGTAAACTAGATTTCCTAATTCCAAACCATACTTTAAAATGGAAATCAATGAAAGTCAAGGTAAATATGGATATACATAAAACATATACTACTAAATAAATGCAAATACTAATAGAGATTTTTCCCTGCTTTAACTTTATATGATCTTTCCCTGTGGTCTTACTTCTATTGCACACATCATTCATTAGATTATGAAAACCATTAATGTCAAGAAGCAGAACAAAATGAATTCACTAAGGGGCTTCTATTAGCATATCAAGCAGCTATTTCTCACTAAATATTCCTGACAGCTCTCATTACATGTGATGGATGAGCTTTATAAGTAGTAGTAGTTTCTGAGGAAAATAAAATCTTTACGCTTCCTACCATTTGCGACGGAGGAAGTAGCAATCATCTTTCAGCAGTTTATATTTTCTCTTTCCCCCTTTTAATAGGAAAGTGTCATAAAATTCACAGGTAGGTTAAATGCCCAAGTCAAAGTTAATTTAGAAATTACAAGTCTAATTTATGATCTCAATACTGTAAATGCCTTTAGTTAAGACACATTGGTCCCAGTCTTCCAAATAATCTACAAATCCAAGCAATGATAGAAAACTGAGAAAACCAGTTGGAAATCAGCATTTTGAAATACACTGGTACTGGATAAACTTAAATGAAGGAGGAAAACTAACACCACTGACTAAAGGCAAAAGTGTAAAAATATATTTTTAAGCAAATTCTGTACTTTTAACATAGTATGAATGAGAGGAAATAATAATTATTATAAAAATATTATTTGTTTTCCTATTCAAATGAAAAGGCAGCAATATAAGTCTCAAGGGCTATAACCAGGTAACACCAAAGTATTATATTCTGTGAATTATATTTTGAAAACCACAGGAGCTGGCGCTATGGCACAGCGGGTAAAGCTGCTGCCTGCAGTGCCAACATCCCATACGGGTGCCGGTTCGAGTGCTAGATGCTCCACTTCCCATCTAGCTCTCTGCTTTGGCCTGGGAAAATAGTGGAGGATGGCCCAAGTCCTTGGGCCCCTGCATCCATGTGGGAAGACCTGGAGGAAGATCCTGGTCCCTGCCTTCGGATCAGTGCAGCTCCAGCTGTTGTGGCCAACTGGGAAGTAAACAGTGGATGGAGGGTCTCTCTCTCTCTCTACCTCTCCTTCTCTCTCTAACTGTGCCTTTCACATAAATAGATAATTCTTTGGGAAAAAAAAAAGAAAAGAAAACCACAGTATAGATTAAATGCAGCCTATAGAAGTGTTTTATTTAGTCTTAAAACCAGGGGCCAGCTCTGTGGCACAGTGGGTTAAGCCAGGACTTGCAGTGCCAACACCCTATATGGGCACTAGTTCAAATCCTGGATGCTCCACTTCCAATCCAGCTCCCTGTCAATGCACCTGAGAAAGCAGCAGAGGATGGACCAAGTTATTACACCCCTGCACCTATATGGGACACCCAGAAGAAGCTCCTGGCTCCTGTCTTCAGCCTGGCCTAACCCCAATTGTTGTGTCCACTTGGGGCGTGAACCAATGGATGAAAGATCTCTCACTCATTCGGTGGTGTTCTCTGTCTCTCCCACTTTCTGTGACTCTGACATTCCAGTAAATAAATAAATCTAAAAAAAACCTAATTAGCAGCATGTATTAAATTTCAAGGGAGTCCAGGTAAATATCTACATATCTACATTTCTGGTTACCTTTAAGAATTTGAGAGTAATTGATAAAAACATTGGCATTAATTCTTCATTTGTCCACAGACTCCCCTAACAGTCCCCCATGAATAAGCAGTGTCTGTGTCTTTCATATTGCTTTTCCAGTAGCAGAGAATAGTTCTCTAAGCTACGTGGCAAAATAACAGGCAGACTGAGAGAGTGGTTTAGTTTTCATATGTTCCATCCAACCTTTGTGTTTAGACGTATTCCCCATTGCAACAGCCTTCAGAAGTGGGACCCACTGGGAAGTGATTAAGTCATGAGGGTCTGCCCTCTTGTTGGATGAGGGTCTTCTAAAAAGGCTGGGAGAACTAGCTTAGGCCCTTTTTGTCTTTTTATCACAAGAGGACCCAACAACAAAGCACCATCTTGGAAACAGAATGGGCTCTTACCAGACACCAAATTGGATGCTGCTTTGATCTTGAACTTCTCAGCATATTGAACTATAAGGGAATGAATTTCTGTTCTTCATTAAATTACTCAGTCTCAGGTATTTTGTTATAGCAGCACAAATCTTATGAAGACAGAGGACTACCTCAAGCATTGATTTAGGTTACCTTATCTTATTAAGAATGGGTTCCAGTAACAAGATGAAATTGATCTTTACCTTAAACGTGTGTGTGTGTGTGTGTACATATCCCCTAGAGTATGTTTTATGTATATATTCACTGTGACTATGTTTTGGAAATTACAAAAATTAATATATGTATAATCTAAAAGTTACATAGAGAATAAAATATTTTACTTAATTTTGTACACATTCCCAACATTTGTTGATTAGTTGTCATGCAAAGTAAACCAACACATCTACATCTCTAAGAACCTATTTAGGAACCAGTGCTCTGGCACAGCTGGTTAAAGCCCTGGCCTGAAGTGCCAGTATCCGATATGGGCACCAGTTTGAGTCCTAGGTACTCCACTTCCGATCCAGCTCTCTGATATGACCTGGGGAAGCAGTAGAAGATGGCCCAGGTTCTTGGGTCCCTGTACCCACATGGGTGACCCGGAAGAAGCTCCTGGTTCCTGGCTTTCGATGGGTGCAGCTCCGACCATTGCGGTCATTTCGGGAGTAAACCAGCAGATGGAAAATCTCTCTCTCTCTCTCTCTCCATCCCTCTCTCTCCTCTCTCTCTCTCTCTCTCTCTCTGTCTCTCTCTCTGTCTCTCTCTCTCTCTGATTCTACCTCTCTTTGTAACTCTTTCAAATAAATAAAATAAATCTTTAAAAAATTCAAAGGAAACTATCTAAACCCAAAGAATTGCTACTGCCTCTTTTAACTATGTTATGTCTAACTATGTTAAGCATCTATTTTACTTACAATAAGTCCTAGCTTTTTCAACCAAATATTTAGTGGCTCTTTATTGTTTTATAACTTCAACAGTGAATTACTTGGAGGAGGATAAAGACTTTTTTTTTTCATTTTATCCTAATAGATTGATCCTTAATAACTGCTGAGATATAAAGTATAGCTTTCAAAAAATTAATAGATGTTAATTTATCAACATACATAACTATCCTTAAACCTACTTAAAATATACTTAGAGCAAAAGAAAAATCAAGTTTGGTTATGAAGATGCAATGTTGTTTTGCATTCTATGGTCATATTTTATTCTCGTCAGGGAGAAACTTTTGAGAGTATCATAACAGAAACAGAAGCTCCAAAGAATATCTGTTTGAGCATGTATGTGTGTGTGTGAAATGTGACATTTCATTACAATAATTGTACAGTGAGTTTGAATCTTTCTGTAAGCTGACTTTTGCAATCAATACCCAAGAAAAATAACTAGGTATTCTGAAAAATTCTGTCAGGGAGACTTAGACTGGGTACAAAAATAGAAAAAGGGCCTCTGATCTCCACCTTACCAGCTTTGCCATCCTTGCTTTCCATCTCAGATCAGAAATCCAGCAGCATTTGATCTCGTGCTACTTTAAGATTCTGGGTTTCTTTGCCCATCCTGTCAAGCCAATTGCTCGGAGTCCAGTCTCACCCAATGCTAGTGAATGTTACTTTCAAGATGCATGTATATTACTCATTATCCCATTTTGCAGGACAGGTATCCTACAGGAGATGGAGCAGTGACTCCAGAATGCTTCACTTTGGAATTATAGAACCTAGGAACAATCTATGTTCAGATAAGAGAGAAATGTTTACCAGAAGTTCACAGGTCCCACTTGGGAATATTCTTCCTGAGAGTCTCCAGAAAAGAATGCTACTTTTCTAAGATTCAGCTATAGAATTCATTTCCTACATAATCCCTTTCTATTTCCACTATACTGAATTATTTGTCTTCTACAAAATAGAGGAAAGGAGTTGTATATAAGCAAATCATAATCCCTTCTGCGTCCAATATCCTGTGGTCTGGACAGAAACAGAAACAAATAAGACATGGCTATGTCGTGAAGAAACTCATGTTTTAATTCACAGATTTGTGCATAAAATGTTAATGGGGAGTGAGTATTGGGTGTAGCAGTTTGATAGGCCTACCTCACATATTGGAGTAACTGAGTTTGAGTCCCAGCTCTACTTCCAGTTCCAGCTTCCTGGGAGGCAGCAGGTGGCGGCTGAAGTAGTTCAGTTCCTGTATCCACATAGGAGGCACTGAGCTCCGGAGTTCAGCCGGGCCTTGTCCTTCCTGGCTGTTGTGCAGGCATTTGAGGTGTGAACAAATGGGGAGATCTCTGTCTGTCCCCTGCTACCCCTGTCTGTCTCTGTTTTTCAAATGCAGAGAAAAAAATAACAGTTAACTGGAATAAAGGAGAAAAGTATACCAAACTGTTACAAACACATGATCTTATAAAATAGAAAGATCAGATGACACCATCTTGGGAAAGCATCAAAGAACCTAATTTATTACGAAGAACAATAAATCTTCACTTTCCTTTCTCTCAAGTCATTTCTCCAATTGTGTTCACCATGGGATGGTGTTGCTTTATACAAGGCCCCTTTGATATGGAGAGGACTGAAATGTAGACAAGAAAAATATTGGATGAATTGTAGCATATTTGATAGAGAATCTTTCTGTAGTATGCACGTAAACCTCTCTTATTAAATACATGTTATTTTCTTTATTATAGACCATCCTTTAAATTTACCCATTCTACTGTAGGTAGGTAGATGGGTAGAAGGGGGATAGATAACTAGATGACAAATAGGTAGGTATATAGATATAAACACAGATTGACAGACACATCTAAGATCAAACTCTGCAACTTCACTCAAAACTAGATAGTTCTGAAAAAGAGATTCTGATATTTTCTTTAATACTGGAAGACTTAAAACAATTCCAACAAGTATTATCTCTGGGTAGTGGACTTAACTTTTTTAAACTTTTTAGTTTAAATAATTTAAGACTCACAAGAGGCCACAAAAATATATGGAGAATCCCTATGTATTCTTCATCCTACTTTCCACAGTTAAACATCATAAATATGGTCCATTTTCAAAACCGATAAATTAGCATTGACAGAAATATTAATTAAACTCCAAACCTTGTTAGGATATCATCAATTTTACATGTGCATACTTTGTAGATAATTTTCAATTTTCTTAAGTTTTCTGTATTTTACAATTTCTCTAAAATATGCATATGTATAAGCCAGTATATGTTATAATATGCATATATAAATACCATACATAAATGGACAAATACCAGTTGTCTACTTTCTTTGCAAAAATATATAAATTAGGTTTTGCAAAGTAATGTTATCTATTATTTCCATCACTTTCATATTTCCACCCACTTCAAGAATATTTCACAATTCCACCACTTCCACAATGTAAGTCATGCCAGTGAAATATAGCACTACACAATAAAGGCAATTTCTATTATTTAGTATCTAAGTAGTTAGGAATAATGTTATCTGTGTGTCCAAAATTGAATATTCACACTGTCTACTTTGAAATTTTTGGCCAGATTTGATGATCTCGTTTCAAAGAAACTGTCATACATGAACAATAAACTGAGCCAGAGTTATTTTATTATTCGACCTTTTGAAGAGTTTTCTTTTACTTCAGATATGATTTTCTTTTCACATTTTCTTTTTTCAAAAGCTCTCTCACAAAATGAAATACTCCATTATTCATTCATCAACAAGTGTTGAATGAATGACATATGACTGACAGTAGAGGAGTTAAAAGCATGATTGAGGTGTTATTCCTGCTATTAGAGAGAGAGAACGTGCACATAGATTACTGCAATGCATGACACAGGTGTTAAGGCACATAGGACAAATTCAAAGTCCAGTAGAGGGAAGAGTTACTTCAGGCCAGTGGAGATTTTATCAGGTTAGTTGGTAAACTACACGCTCTTATGCTGAATTCAAAGGTTCTGTTCCTTGTTTGCTTTATTGAAACTTATCTTTCCCTCTGGGCTTCATTTTTGAATCTGTAAAATGGGACTTGAGGCTTCTGAATGTATAAAATAAAATATTGTATGTGAAATGCTTAGAATAAGTCTTGGAACACGCATTTTACCTAACTCAGCAGGCTCATCCATGATATTGAATGAACAAAAAGTAACAAATGAGACTGTTAGAAAGAGGCAAAGCTTCTGGGCAGGCCACTATGCCTCAATTTTTCTAACAAAATCTCTAAAAATTTTCAGTCCTTTTTTCCAAATAAAATTAAGTTCTCTTTTTATAATCAGAATTGCAATGTTATCCTCTTTCATGTCTTTAAAATAAATTACATAAGGTGTGGCGCTGTAGTTTAGTGGGTAAAGCTGCCATTTGCAGTGCCAGCATCCCATACAGGTGCTAGTTCGGGTCCCGGCTGCTCCACTTCCAACCCAGCTCTCTGCTGTGGCCTGGGAGAGCAGTAGAGGATGGCCCAAGTCCTTGGGCACCTACACCCATGTAGGAAACCCAGAAGTTCCTGGCTTCTGGCTTCAGGTCAGTGCAGCTTCAGATTCAGATGGAAGACCTCTCTCTGCCTCTCCTTCTTTCTCTGTGTAACACTTTCAAATAAATTTTTAAAATTCTTTAAAAAAATAAAAAATACATAAACATTTCATTTTTTTTGTATTTTTTCACTCTGTTCTTAACTTCTCTCTGTTTGTCATTTCAATTAAATTTCTGGGCAACCCTGATTGATTTCTACCAAGGAGACAAAGATCCTGAGTTGAAATAAAGTTTCCACAGGGTCTTTTGGGAAAAAAGATTCTGACAGCTCTAAAAAGCACTGTTTGTCAACCCCCTACCCTTCCACATGGTCACACACAGGGACTTGCTCACACCCAGGGTACGGTTGCAAGTTGCTATGTGCAAACCATCTGTGCAGTCTGGTCTGATGTTACGCCATCTGCATCTGCTTCAATAGCAGTCCATTGGAGATAAAGGACCAGAGTCTATTGGGCTGAGCAAAGTTCATTCTCACCAATACACGTCAGTCCTCTGCTCTTTTTTTCCTTAAGGATATGATGGGTTTACCAAAAAAAAAAGGAGAAACTAATTGATCTTGAGAATATGTCCAAGTAACCTTTCTATGCTGGTCCCATTCAAACAATTTGAATTTAAGTGGAAGTATTCTATCCTCATGTCAGAGACCCTCAGGACTCTGTCAAAAAAGTTATTTTCAGAAAGAAATAAAAAGAAGTATTACAAAGGGTATGAATTCAGGTAGAAGAAAAAGTCTCTGTGTCACATGAAACAAAGGTTTTAAAAAATGATCATTTGCTGTTTGATTTTCCTTGCCTTAATGAAGTTAATAGGCAACTTAATGATCTCTTTACACCTGAGAAATCCCAAATTTCTCAATAACTCTCACAGATTTAGAAGGATATACTTCAGAACTCATTTCAAGTTTATTGAAAATTTTAATAATAAAAAAGAAGCAAGGAAAATAAATCAATGGGAAGAATTTAGCCTAAAAACATTGTCTCAACAGCATTACAGCTGCAATATAACCACTCACATGTGGTAGCTTGTTAAAGGCTATGGTCATAAATCTTGGCAACCAGGAGATTCTGGAAAATGATGCACTGCTGGTAGCTATCTATCTATCTGCACAAATATATGATCTTTTAATCTATGAACTATAATCACTCCTTAGAACTGATGATTGAAAATGTGGGCCACAGGCAATTCACCAATGCATAACTTTCACTGCACCTTAAGTAGTAATTTCACTCTTTATCTGAGAAACTATTATCAATCTGATCACCCTCCCTTAGCTTACATACACCAAATCCCATTTTCCTTCCTTTATATAGTCCTACACCCCAAACTGACATCATTGTGATTTGAACTCTAAGCCCTCCACCCTGTTCTCAAATCCAGCCCTGAGCTCTGACAGGAGGCAAATCTGTCACTGTGTACCAGGGTCCTCTTTCATGAAGCATCCTGTACTAATTCTTGACTTCAAGGAGCCGCCCCAAGATCTGCCAATTGGACTCCTGCCTTACCCTCCAGCATCAATTTGTTTACCTCTCCTCTAGTTGTTCCAATTTATATCAATATTCTTCAGTTTTACTTATTACCCCTAGGGCAATTTGTGTAATTTGTTTGGCTTCAAGAAACAGAAATAGATAAGAAGAGCATTTATAGCTTGTGGCATTGGACACACCTGACATAGGTCAAAAGCCCACTAGCACTGGCCATGAGAATTCATGCAAAGTTTTAAATCCCTGGACCTTATTTCCTCAGAAAGCTGCTGTTGTGATTAAATTAATTGACATAATGTGGTTTTATGTAAAAGACTTGGTACTGAAAAGTGCCACATAACAATGAAATAACATCTATTTCTTCTTCCCACCTCCTTCTGACAGAGCACTTTCTGAGTTAGCTGGATGATTAGGGCTAGCTATGCATGGATCTCTAACTCCAATAAGGAAAATATATGGATTCTAGTGTCCTTCTCCACTTCCCCTCACCTTCCCTCTGGCATTCCAACATTTAAATAGAATGCTTCAACTGGTCCTCACCCCTTTCTTGCCTTTTCTAATTTAAAGAGAACCCAGGGAGTGTGGTGATATCTGAACACAGATGTTCTCCATCAGATTGCACCTAGGCTCTCAGCTGTAGAAGTTCCATCTGATGTTATCCCTCTTAGTATTTTTTTGTTTGTTCTACTTAATACTTTTGGTTGAATTCTGTAATCAATACACAATTCTTCTTAAGTGCTGAAACTTAACTGAAAAGTGATCACTGTTAAATGTAAGAGTGGGAATAAGAGAGGGAAGAGATGTGCAATTCGGGACATGCTCAAGCTGACTTACCTCAAATGGTAGAGTTAGAAACATACCAGGGGATTCGAATTCAATCCCATCAAGGTGGCATGTACCAATGCCATCTCACTAGTCCCAGTGATCAATTTCTGTTCACAATTGATCGTAATGATAGGACTAAGAACCAAAGGGATCACATAAACAAGAATAGTGTCTGCAAATACTAGCTGATAGAATAAAAAAGGGAGAGAATGATCCAACATGGGAAGTGAGATACACAGCAGACCCATAGAATGGCAGATGTCCTTAACAACACTCTGGCCTCAGAATCAGCCCTTAAGGCATGCGGATCTGGCTGAAAAGCCCATGAGACTATTTCAGGCATGGAAAGCCAAGACACTCTGGGGAAAAAAAAAAAAAACAAAAAAAAAACACCTAAATGGAAGATCTCTGTGAGTGAGATCCCAGTGGAAAGAGTGGGTCATCAAAGAAGGAGGTACCTTTCTCTGAAGGGAGGAGAGAACTTCCACTTTGACCATGGCCTTG